CCAGTTGCCCATTATTCACGGGCTCCAGTCCCATTCACTCACTAAGCCAGGTTCTTCCTGGGAATCTTGTGTTTTGCTCTGCTCTGATTTGCAATTTTGATGGATTCTCCTTTCTCATTTTCCCCAACACACACACTTTCAATGGGCAATTTCAATTATCTTGACATCTGCTGGAAGTCTAAATCTGCCAAGTCAGATGCCCAACACATTCTTGTCCTCTCTTGCTGATAACTTAATTTGTCAGAAAGTGGAAGAAAAAACAAGGGGGTCTGCCATCCTGAATGTAATCCTCATCATCAAGGAGGAGTTTGTTGAAAAATTGGTGACTAATATCTTGGGGGGAAGTGGTTGTTTTATCCTTGAATTCATGATATCAGTGGAGGAGCTGAGAGGAGTCAGACCAGTATACTGCATTTCAGAAGAACAGATTCAGACATACTCCAAGGGAAGATAGGTCAGATTCAGTGGCTTGTAGAAATACAGCCAGGAAGGGTGGGAATTCCTATTAATATGCTGAAGGTGCAATTGCAAAAAATCTTCACAAGAAAGAAAATGAGAGGAATTTGAAAGCGGCCACTGGGGGTGCATGCAGAGCTCTCTAAAATGCTGAAGAGGAAAAAGGAGATGTACAGGGAATGGAATGAGAGGAGCATTGCCAAAGAAAGTGTGGCAATCTCCAGAAACAGTCAGGCTAAGGCTAAGCTAAGGCTTGCAAGAGATACTTAAAAACAATGAAAAAAGGGATACTTGGGATATATTGGAAGAAAAAGGAGAGCCAAAGAGGATGTTGGTGTATTGCAAGGAGAAAGTTGTGAGTTGATAATGAGTGGTGGGAAGGCAACATTATTTTGAATCTGTATTCTCTCAAAAGGGAAATGGAGCCCTAGCTCCCCCCCCCACCTCATTATGCTATGGGGTGGGGGAGGAAGTGGCTGCAGCTTAGATTAGGCAAGGAGAGAGTATGAGAGAATGCCACTATTTTAACTGAATTCATATCTCCAGGGCTACATGAATTATAGCCTAAGATACTGAAGGAACTTAGTAAAGGTGACTGCAGAATGGCTCTTGGTAATCTTTGAGTGCTCCTGGAGGATTGGCAAGGTCCCTGAAGATTGTAGGAGAGCAAATCTTGTCCCCATCTTCGAGAAGGGGAAGAAGGAGGCTCAAGGAAACTGTAAACCTGTCAATGTGGCTTCTATGCTGGATGAAGCCCTCAAACAGATTATCAGTCAATGGGTTTGTGATCCCTTGGATAAGCATGATGCAAAAACAAGCACCAGAATAGGTTTGTCATAAAGAAATCATGCCTGACTATTCTGATCTCCTTTGATAACTATCTTAGTAAACCAAGGGAGTGCAGTAGACATCAAGCACATGGATCTCAGTAAAACCTTTGACAAAATGCCTCACAATATTCTCCTTAGAAATTGTAAAATATGATATAATATGACTCTTAGACTCATGATTGGCTGACTGATTGCATCTAAAGAAGATTCATTAATAGCTTTATTTCAGCTTGAAGGAAGAATTGAGTGGAAGGCTCTATCGATGTGCTGTTCTACATTTTTATGAGAGACTTAGAGGAGAGGGTTAAGGGGCTGCTTATCAAGTTTGCAGATGACACAATGTTGGAAGGGATGGCTACACCAGAAGGGAGAGATTTCAAAAAGATCCAGATAGACTTAAACAATGGACTGAAATGATAAATATGATGGAATTAAGAAAGAGAGTTCTGCATCTCAGGAGGGGGGGACATCTGCCTTGGCAATAGTCTGTGTAAAAAGAATCTGGATGTTCTTGCAGACCGCAAGTTAAACATGAGCCAGAGGAATGATGCAGCTGCTGGAAAAATAAATGTTGCGTTGGGGTGCATTTACAGGACCACAGAGTTCAGATCATGGGAAGTAATTGTTCCATTCTAGTCTGCCCTGTTGCATCCAGTTGTGGGCACCACAGTTCAAAAAGTATAATGATAAATTGGAGCAAGTCCAGTAACAACTGAGAGTAGATATGATAGTCTTGAAATATCCAAAATATCCCTCTTATATCATATATTGGCTAAAACTACAAGAAAGTTGGTTTGGACTAAATGTCAGGAAAAACTAAAGTTGGTTTGGACTAAATGTCAGCAAGTTTACAGGTTGCCACATTAGGTGGTGAGTTTTCTTTTATTGGAGGTCTTCAACAGAAGCTGGATAGGCCTTTGACACTCAAGTGAATTCTATACTTAAAGTTAACCATGACTGTTTCTTTGTATGTAATGAAAAAATACCCCACAAATTATTAAAATGATCTTATTTAATTAAAGTCAGTTGAATTACAGTACAGAGGACACATTGTTAACTCTTTTTGTAATATTAGGTCTCATTCAGAACAATTACATGTTTAGCACAAGTGTCCCAAAGAGTTCCCTTGTCGGAATAATATATAATACTAGATTTTGATATGAGTATTTTTCTTAACAATCAGAACATGACAGAGATTTCTGACTCACAGTCTGAAATTGGTGCAAGTGTTTCATTTTGTCATGTGGTATTTGATTCATTAAGAAAACAAATCTCTGAAAAGAACAGGAGAAATGCCACATGCAGGTTGATAGAGGAGACAATTTGTGTGTATGAAGTTGTATTCACACACTGTACTCCCATAAGGACATTTCCATCAGGGCAGTCACGTGCAGGGAACCCCATATGTTGGCAATGACCACTCATTAAAGGCCTGCAAAATACTTCTAGGTAAATAGACTAGCAATCAAGGGAGCTTTGTTTAATGCTTTAAGTGAGTGCATGGATATGTAATTGATGCAAGACAATGTTTAAAACAAAATTTCAGTTCATTTTCACATACTGAATTCAGGATAAAGAGAGCTCTATCTTTATCAGATTATCTTATTGTGGCAAACCTAATATACAACATCAAATACAGTATTAAAATGTGTGTGTCCATAAAGCTATTGTTGAACTTTATTAAAATGTGTTGCAGTTTCAGTCTCCTCTGGAATTGGCACAAACCCCTAACTCAGAATTGCTCTAATAAAAATCTCTAAATCTATATAAAGTGCATTTGGAATAAGAATTTATGGAATAAGGAAGTTCAAAAATTACCTAAAGTAAATCCAATATAAAATGGACCTCTGTTTATTCTATAAATCTGTTTTTATTAAAACCCTCAAATTAAAATAGTGAAAAGGGATCACTTTGTACAAACAGAAAATTGCTCAGTGGTGTTATTAATAGCATAATATTTTTATACAGAACATGATTATGTTATATCTTTTATACAGGAAGGACTTCAGCTTTGCATAAATAAAACTCAAGAGAATGGAACATTTATTACTTGAATCCTGAACATTGTACAGCAGGAATAGTAAAACTACAGGAGATAAAACTCAAGACAGCAACCTTTTTAAAAACCAAAACAAAGCCAAATATACTAGTTGGATTAGAGATAGCTCCACAACATGAATGACATTGGGTTTCCTTTGTTTCTGAACAGTAAGACTTTGAGCTAAACATGATTCCCAGACTCTGAATGCCTGACAGTATTACTCTGTTTACCCAGAATTGGGTCTTTCTGTTGTCAGTGAGACTTTGTCTCTAGCATGTGTGTAGCAAAATGCATCTATGGGCATGTTTGCTGACTTCAGCATGCTGTGTAATGCAGGAGTCAAAAACCTAAATGTTAGAATATACTTCTAAAATTGTGAAACAGTTCTAATTATCTTACACTATTTGGACCAAATTAATTTAAACCAAAGAGTCTGCTTCTTCCATATGAATAAAGCATACTTGTTTCAGTAAAAGCATTCTTTTTTAATGAACAATATGTATTTTTCTAATGGTGGTACACTATACCATAGTATGAGCCATGAGACAACTTATTACTAGGAAAGTGTGAATTGTTCCAACACGGAACAGCCAGTTGCTTGG